TCAATGTATATTATATGTGAAAATTACCCTGAAGGGTAGGAATGGATGCTAATAAGGAAAGGAGAGCGGGAGGGGGGAGGGAAAGAGAGAGAGAGAAAGAGAGAGAGAGAGAGAGAGAGAGAGAGAGAGAGAGAGAGAGAGAGAGAGATAGTAAGGAAGACATGGAGAAAGACATGGAGAGAAAGAGAGAGATTCTAAATTTATCTATCAGCAATTTATTTGGGAAGGTCTTTATCCCGTGACAATCATTGTGTCCCCAGCCAACCTCTGACTGGGGTGCCCCATAAAGAATGCTTGGATTATAAGGTTTTTCCTCAAGTGGATGGCTGCTGTTCTTGGAACAGTCAGTATTTGATATCTAAGAACCTTTTCTTACCAATTCCCTCAATGAGGCAGCTTGCACTTCTGGAATTAAATCCACCTAACTCCATACCTCAGCCCTGATCCCAAAGTGAGCGTGGGTGAGAAAAGATGTTCTCTGAAATATCAATACTCTCCTGTCTATCCACTTTCATATTTATCCTGAGGTGTCTGGTAAGTCAACTCTATTTGACATCTGCAAAGAAACTTTCAGTTTCCCCCACCCCCTTGCTGGAAACTTGGATGGGATAGACAACTGAATTTAGATTTTAAAAAAGAAAAAGATAGTTCTCAGGAGAATCTCAAAGACCCCAACCACTATGAAACATTGTACATCAGGTCTTTATCCTTCATAACTCCTCTGGCCTTCTGCTTGCTTATGTCTTCACTGCCAAGCCATCTGTTGTTCGAATGATTAGTACCAAGCTATCAGAGTAGTTTAAAAGAGAGGGAAATTAAGCATCCTTTTAAAAATATTTTTCAATAACACCCCCTCTCTCTCATCCTCCTAAATTATTGACAGAAAGGTTCTACAAAAATAAAGAGGACAGAGAATCAGTTATAACATCTTCTTGCAGCCCCTGGACACAAGTATTTCTGACTACTTATTTTTTAATGTTTTATTGATTCTATTTGACCTATGAGGACCCCAGCAAAAGGTTTTTCCTGCTTTTTTTATTGGAAAATCCCTCTCCCCATCCCACAAATCACTCTCAATTTCTCTGCTGGATTTCATTACATTCCCCCAAGTTACATCCTCTCAGGTCACCCCAAACAGATCACCTATCACTGTCCTGCCAAAATAATATACGCAGTTGAAAGCACACTTATGGACACACACACACACACACACACACACACACACACACACACTGAGAAGCCAGCTCTGATTTCTCTACCCACTACCTGCCAGGTCAAAGGAGACGAGAACATTTATTGTAAATGGTGGACAACCAAGGCCCACCTTTCAATACCTTTGAAGTTACAGCATTTTGTCTTGGAATACTAACACTCTCAGAGTGCCTCTCCCTCCACTGTGAAATATTGGCATTGCATGGTGTTGACAATAAAATCCCCAAGTCCCTTTGATTTCTAGGCGGTATTGATTTTAAGGGACCCTGCCACCCTCCAAAGTGATGGTGTCCACTCATGACCTGTCCACAGGGCTTGCTGGTTTATCAACCAGCCATCCCAGTTCCCTTGACACTTAATGAGGAGCAGGAGTGATGACTGTTCCCTGGGACAATGCTTGGGCCACATCCCGCAGACCCACACCTGCCATAGTGTTTTCCCAAACTGTGTCCAAGGGAACCGCTTGAAAACAGTCACTGGTGACCCAACCCTCTGCTCAAATAATCAACATAAAGTACTGGTGGAGACATCTGTCGTCACTCTAGCCAGTGCTATGACAGAGTCACCTACACTGGGACTACGTTTCCAGGGAGGATTTAACTACTGAGGGCCTCTTGTTTCTTAGCTCCACATTCAGACTTTGTTTCTGATTCTTTTTTCTGTTTGGGTCCAGTTTTATCCTTTGGTACCCCATTTGTGCTTAGGATTTGGGGATGACAGCCAATGTGGAGCTAGGAGTGCACAAAAGTGGAGTTTCTCCCAGGGTATAAGGAGTCTGCAGATCTCCACTGGAGACTCAACATGAGGGAGGGGCAGGACAGTCCCACAGGTTGACAAGAGCTTTTAAAGAGAAGAAGGGGTGAAAAGGACAATGACATTCAGAGGCTTTCTCAGCAGTCTCTCTGGGTGTCCCTGAGCACACAGGGTGCATTGGGAAGGATGTGTGAAGAGTGCCTCCTGAGGGAGGAGGGCAGAGGAGCTGGTGTCCTCACCTTGGGCCGACACAGCCCCATACCCAAAGCACAAGGCCAGAGGAACTGGGTGGTGCCTAGACGTCAGCCCCTACAGGCACAATCCACAGAGCCACACAAGGAGGCTCTGCTCACACTATGCAGCCTATCTCAAGGTCTTCTTCCGGAAAGGAAGCCGATGTACCCCATGGTCCAACGCACCCTCTTCAGGATGAACGCTGCCTTTACCACTTGGACAAGTCTTCTTGAGTGGTTCCATTTCCATGATTGTATCCTGATTTAGGTTTAAAAACACAACTTTCCTAATCAGACTGCATACATAAGAGCACGGACAAGGTGCATCATTGTCCACTGAATGTACATGTGTGCCGTGGCCCTTCTCCCTTAGAAACACTTGTTGGGTCACTCCTGTTAGGTTGCAGGTGGGGGAAAGTTGTAACAATGCTATAGTGGTTGAGCGGAAGCCCCCACAAAAAGATATGTCCAGGATAAAAGTTATAACCCATGGAATATGTGCCTGTGGCCTTGGAAAAGGGGTCTTAGCAAATGGAATTAAATGAAGATTCTCAAGATAAGATGATCCGGGGATTTAGGGTGGGCCTTAAATCCCATGACAAATGACCTTAGAAAGATAGGAGATACAATCCACAGAGACACAGGGGAGAAGGCCCTGAGAAGACAGAAGCAGAGACTGGAGTGATGCCTGGAGCCAACTGAAGCTGGAAGAGGAGGGAAGTTTCCTCTCCTAGCATCTTTGGAGGAAGTGCAAGATTCCCGACCTGTGGAACTGTAAGAGAATAGATTCTTGTTCTAAGCCACCAAGTTTCCGGCAATTTCTTCAGCAACCCTAGGAACAGTGGCTTCAATGGCTCCCAGGTCTTCTATGGATAGCAGCGCACACCAGGCTGAACTCAATCCACCCTCCCCAGATCCCCTGTTCCCACCCCAGCGCCTTTACTCACCACTCTCCACTTCATAAAACCTCTGTCCTATTCTCCCCGCATATGAACTTGCAGAGGAAGCCCTGTCTCTCCCAAGAAAATTCCCCCTTTGGGTTCCTCTCTTAACACTGCCCTTCTCCTTCACTAGACGACAGAGACCATTATTACCACGTGTGTCTCCCCTCCCCCACCCCATTCATCTGGCACTCATCAGGCATATGCCAGGCTTTATGCTTGCATGCTCATTGTGCTCAGGAGATAGGAACAGCCAACACCCATCTGCTTTAGAGTCTGCAAAACACTTACTACACACAAGAGCTTACTTGGCCCTGACACTGAGCTGTTGGGTAGGTAAGACCTACATCGACAGCCTAGCCTAACAGACAGATCATTCTGAGGAGGAAGCTAACTGACTGCCAACGTCATTCCTAAAGAGATCTGTGCAAAGGGTGGCTGTCTTCATCCTGTACATTATCCAGAGCACGGTGCTTCTTTTTCTCCCCTTTGGTACATAGCATGGACCTTAAGAATGTAAATATGGAGGCTGAGGCAAGTTTGCAGGAGCAGATTGACTTGGTCCTATTAAGGTACTTGGGAGAGAGCTAGTGGGAAAGCTCTGGCATTTGGGACAATTGTTGGGTTGGTTGGGGTCTAGGTTCACCCAAGCACACCCCGATGGGCAATTCCATTGGCCGTATCTATCTGAGGAGGAGGAAAGGAATGGAGTTAAGGATGAGGGACACAGATTATGAAGAAAGGGCAAAGATGGGTTCCCTGATGGTACTTTCCCCGCCCACCTCATCCCAGCCTTGCCTACGTGAGTTTAACCCTCCACATGCCACAAACACAGTGCTTTCCCATCCACAATTGGCCATCCAGTTGAGCAAATATCTATCTTGATTTCAGTTCTCACTGAGAAACCAATCTTTGTCCTTGCCTACTGGAACAGGCTTTGGGGGTTGAGGGATGGGGGTTGGGAGTGGAGGGGGAGCAGGAAAGTAGCTCCAGTGTCTGTAGGGGGCACTTGAGCTACACAAAGGTGGAAGAGGGGACGTCTGCAGGGGGGAAAACTTTAGCCACCAGACAGAGCCCATGGTCAGCCCTTGAGCCAAACAGACAACAATCAGCCACAAAAGGATGGTAATTCAGTCACTGCTGGCCGGATGGGACCCTGCAGCCTTTTCACAGATGGTCTTCATTTTTCCCAGTCAACACCCAGCAAGCAAGGCTAAGATGGGGCTCATTACTGCTGGGGAGAGGGGAGAAAGGAAGGGAAAATTGAGGTCCAGAGAAGTTAAGTAACTTGTGCTGGTTGCCCAGTGAGTGCAACCTAAAATAGCCCATGTTCCAGGAAGCAGTCTCCATTAGTTCATCCTCTATTTATTTCCGAGCATGAAGGGTGGCCCTCTTACCGCTTCATATGTAATAGTGTTCCTGCAGCTCTTAACACATAATAACTACTCACTCTCCCATTTCACATGGACAGGCAAGCCCGTCCACTGACCTATTTCAGCCTCACAATGGTCCGGTGGAAAGAACCGAGTCGACTTTTTTTTAAATGTGGGAAGGTAGACACACCAAAAGTTCTGACTCTCATTTCCTAGGTCCTGTGGGAAACCTGTGTCTAGTACACGTGCCCAGTGCTCATGGGTTGTCTGTCAACTTCTCAGTATTGGATTCTTAACCAATCTCTCTGGTACCCTGTCCACTAGTTTAGGGTCATGTTGACTGTACACCTGCTGAACTTTGTGACATCATCTGTACCCCTGCTGGACTTTGGGCTCCTGAGGGCAAGGGTGTCTGTCTCCTGCTCACCCTGCATCCCCAGCAGCCAGATGCCTTTTCACGCCCAATATGGATTCCAGGAGAGCATTACCTGCCATTTCAGAAGAAGCCTGCCCTAGGGTCCTGCGTGGGTCCAGCCCCTCGAGTGGGGGAGGGTGGCAGTCTCTTCTCAGCACCCGGAGTGGCTTGCGTAGTCTGCTTGCTCTGAGTCGAACTGGACCCTGCAAGAAACTCCCTCTGCACCTGTGGACAGAGAAGCACACACCCAGTGACCAGCCTTGGGAGCGTATATCCAGAAACTCATACACACAACGTCCCCAAACAGTGGTGCTCAGACAATAAAACCCAAGTCCCTGGGAGAACAGAGTTTGTCAGCTCAGAAACTCATCTCTCCTCCCCTCGTTTTTCCTCCATGTGATGGGCACAATAATAGGACCTAATTCATGAGGTTGTTTTAGGGACTAAATGAGAGTGTTTATAAAATGCTCCCGTGCTGTGTAGCACATAACATGTGCTGTGATTAAAGACTGGGGCAAATCGTCTTGACTCCTTAATAAACAGGCTATGAAATAGAAATTTCTGCAATGCTGGAAATGTCCTGTAATCTGCATTGACTCAGGCAGTAGTAGTCACTAACCACAAAACTACTGTTTGAAATATAGTTAGTGTCTGAGAAACTGAGTTTTATATTTTATGTCACTGATAAATTTATATAGCCACACATGGCTCATGGCTCATGGCTCATGGCTACCATACTGGACGGTGTGGGTCTAAAGGCTCTCCTTTGGGGGGAAAAATGAGTATAACAGACATTTCATCTAGAGAAGCCTTCCATATCACCTAGCTAACCTCCAAAACAAAGAAGAGGGCCAAGGAACTGCAAGGAAAGAGAATTCTAGAGCTTCTGTTTATAGTTCTTTTTGTCTAGACTCTAGACATTCTGACGTCTATTGTTGCACGTCCTCTGTAATGTGTGTCATGCATGTTCTGCTCTGTCTGTGCTAGGAGACCGCACCGAGCTAGCCTCCTGGAGGATGAGACACCCCTGGAGCCAAGACAGGCCATCGCAGGGGTGGCCCTCCAGCCCATCCAGTCCCTGGCAGCCCCGGCTGCTGCCCACAGACACTTATGCCAGCCCAGCCAATATCAGAAAAACCACTCAGCTGGGCCCAGCCCGAAACACCTCCCCATAGAATCGCAAGCAAAATAAATGGCATCACTTTAATCCTCTGTTTTGGGTTGTTAGAGAGCAAGCGCTAACTGAACAAACAGTATGACTTCAGCATGGTGCCTAACTAAACAATTTTAAAGGTAATTTTGACCAGTGGTGATTTTTGCCTGGCCATGTATGTAGCATTTGTAAATTGATAGTTACTAATATGCATGTATTAGGATGCAGGCTTACAACTTGTCACTACTAGGAATGTGCAAGTAAGAGCAGACCAGCAAGTTAGTCTAGTGCCTTGGTGTTGCAGGGGGAAGAACTGAGATGCCGAGCAGCTTCCAGGTGCCTTGAGACTCACAGGCCACTTGGGAGCTAGACTCTACATCCAGGGCTCTGGACCACTTTGCAGAGGCCCCCGTGAGTGGTCAGCTCATTAAAAGGTCTCTACCCCGCCTCTAACTGCCTGGTCAAGCCACAAGGACTTGCTCCATTATAAATCCTCAGTTCACAGGAATCCTCCTTCCAGGACACTCCCCAGAACCACCTGGCTGGGGGGGGCGCAACCTGCTTAGCCATTTTGCTTTCTCATTTGTCTGAGCCTCTGCCAACATCCAGCCGCAGTCCCCTGAGCACCAGAGCGCTGGCAGAATCTTAAATCAGGTCTGCAGAATGAATGCAGTGTCCTCGGGCACTGACTTTGACTGCAGCAGCAATGAGAAAGGGACTTCCTGTTCATCTTTCCCGGCGTCTGGGGTTAGGAGAGGTGCCACTTACAGGGCACAGTTGCCTTCCTGGCCTTGGGCAGGAGCTATCGTTTCCAGGGGTCCCTGCTTGCCAAGATCACAGCTTCCTGAAACCGCGATCTGAGCCCGGGTGGGAAGCAACAGGGCTGCATCATCACAAAGCCTGAGCCAGGGGGGCTCCTGCTGGGGGAGAGGGGAGGAAAAAAGGGGCACAACAGTGATCTCAAAGTGCAGAGACAAAGGAAGGAAGGAAGGTGCAGGGTCACACGGAGAATTCTTCACGCTGCAGTCACCTCTGCCCCCACAGCCGTGGGTGGCTGCCAGGTGCTTGCAGGTGTTGAGAATTGCACAGCTTGAGCTGCGGGGAGTTTTGCTTTTGGAAAATGTAGGATTGAGGCACTCCACTCAGTGAAATAGCTAGAAGCCTGCTCTGCTGGAAGAGGCCAGCGCTGAACTCGGAGTTTGTTAAGGTGAGATTTGGACCCTTCTCCCTTAAGTAGGTCTTGGCATTGTCTCCAAAGCACTCTTTTGCTTAGTCATGGGCAGGGTCTGTCTCCTTCTCTCCTGGCTTCTCCCAGAACCTTCTCATGCAGCCCCTCCTGGAGCAGCATGGCCCTGGGCATGAGCAGCCAGGGTGAGGCAGGGGCTGCAAGCTGGCCCTCACCAATCACACAGCCACTGGCAGCCTCGCCTCTACCAGGCTGCTCACCCAGGCCCGGCTGCTGGTGTGTAGGCAACTAGTGACTCACTCACTCCCTTCCCTAGGGAATTGCCCTTGGCAGATGGGAGCATCTTGCCTGGAGAGGCCTGAGGGAATTTGCACACACACACACACACACACACACACACACACACACACACGGGAAAGGCCAACTGCTCAGTCCCTTGGCTTCCAAGCAGGACGGTCTTACTCTGCATTCCCCACTCCAGCGCTCCCCATGGGGTCGGGCAGGACTGAGCACCAGCAGCACATCTTCACCAACATCTGCCCTCAGCCTGGCCAGTGATCTCTCATCAGCCTCCTGAGAGCCCTCCCTCCATCAGCCATCCGTACAAGAACCTCCCCTCGGGCTGCTGCTAGGGAGCCCAATCTCAGACACCATCCAAGTGTTTTCCCCTTTTTCCTTCTGATTCCCACCCTCGGATGTGTGACAAGCACCCTTCAATAGCACGCGTGCTTCTAAATGTGTGCAATGCCTGTGCGGGACATGACCACAGAGACGTCTTTTTCTCAAGTTGTTTTCACTCACGGCCGTGTTTCTGAGGTCAATCTGGATTTCCGTATTTGTGTCTAACTTGCTACTTGTAGCTGGCCTGAATGGTGGTTTACTTAAAAACAACCCAAAACACATAAGCTGCCATTTGAAGTCCAGGTTTTAAAGTTGACTCCTCCACTCGGCACAGCTTCCAGTCTCTGTCCCCCTCTGTAGGTCTTTCAAAAAAAGCCTGTATTGCATACTCAGATGTAAGACCAGCAAGGAACCTCTGTCTATAAACTCACGGGAGGACGTTCAGGAAAAAGCCCCACGGCAGCTTCAGCAGGGACCCCAACTGCTCATTGGCCAAGGCCAAGAGCGCAGGGAGCACCATGTGACCTGGAGTCCGGTGAGCAGCTCACAGAAGGAGCAGGTGAGGCGTTTGTCACGTACCTTGACGCCGGCTGGAAGCCACTGACCACCCTACCTCCTCAAGCCCGCCCTAGCCTCCTCCAAGGAGAGGGTCCCACAGGTGTGCGCCCTGTTTCTCACAGCCTCATCGGGGAAAGAATATGTTCGTAGGATTCCTCTCACCCTCCTCTCTTGACCCCACGGGGAATAATTAGGGTCCTCTGGCTCCCACAGAGTAGGGCCGGGATCGTGGTGAAAGCTTCCGGTGCCTGTACTACTGGCCGCCACCTCCAGGTGTGTGTCTCCGTCTCACTTGGGAAGCAGTGCTCTCGTTACTGAGCATGCCACCCCATCAAACAAGAACATGCTTCATGACCAAGTGAGCAGGCACCCCTCCCCCCAGAGGCCTCAAGCTGTAAGGCAGACACCAGCACCCAGGGGAACGGTGTGCACGGCACCCAGGCTTCTCTCTGCTGCTCTCCCCCATCACCTCTGTGCTCCTGGACTTCACCACTTATTGGTCCCTTTGCCAGGAGCTCCCCGGATCAAGGCTCAGGAGTTTCATGCTCCATAGGGCACGGCCCACAGTCTCAAATTAATCAATGAAATCCGATTCCACGGTCCAGGGCGTCTCTGGGACAGGGAGGTGCACTCGTGAGCTCTGCATTCCTGTGCCTCTAGTTACCGTCGGGCAAGGAGGCACGGAGTCCGAACCGCCCCGTCTCCCCAGTTCCACTCCGAGGATGGAGCCTGCCCGCTCATGTCCTTCGGCTCACGTCCTTCCATGATGGAAACAGCCATTGTCATGAGTGTGGTATTTGGAGTTGACAACAAGCAAAGAAATGGATGAGACAGAATGGAGGGCCCCCCAAAACTCCAGGTACAAGTGGGGAGTTAAAATATAGCAAATAAGTGAGGAAAAAAGTGATTAATCCGTGAGTCTGCAGGCTTTTTGTATAAAGGCCCAGATAATGAGTATAATAAATATTTTAGACTTTGCAGGTGACACACAATCTCTGACACATCTTCACGTGCACTTGAGTGACGCATGGCTTCTACATTGTTGAAAAGGTACATATAAATATACACGGGCATACTCACGTATCTATTCAACAACGTAAAAGCCATGCGTCACTCACAAAGGCATACAAAAACTGGTCAAGAGCCCAATTTGACCCATGCATAGTTTTTCATAGGGACAAAAATAGGTCCTTCCTTATGTTACACAGAGAATGCGTTTTTGTATTTATGATTGAGAGTAAGAGAAGATTTCTTAAACAAGACCAAAAGTTATCATTATAAAGGAAAAGGTAGCTCCACTTGCCTACATCAAAATTACCACTTCTTGATGACAAGAGAATCATAAACAAGGTTAGAAAATAAGAACCATTTCCCACAGCAGCTCCCCTGATTGACGGCGGCCACACCCACCCTCGCACTGAGCACAACTCAGATGTATTAAACAGGAAAATGTTTAACACCATGAAAGGCATTGGTGTTCTGATTAGAAGGTAAGATACACTTAGAAGTCAAAAACCCAGTGGAAACAGAAACCTGGAAGGTAAGCGAGCTTTGTCATTCTGCGGGCATTTGAGGTGAGTTGGGTCCTTCATTTGCATGGTCTGCTGGGGTGAAAGGTGCAGGATTGAAACCCAGACTCTATCCCAGGTGAGAGTCCACTCCTATACAGAGTGGAAACCTCAGAGGGTCATACCCTCAACAGGTGGG